GTGTGTGTGTGTGTGTGTGTGTGGCGTTCAGCAGCTGTTGGACGACTGATAACTGTGTTTGCTGCAGGACGCTCTCGCCCTCTTTTATTGAGAAAGGTCAGTCACAGGAAGAGTCAATAGATTTAACAGTTTCCTCTTTTATCTTTGAGGACAACAAACGTCCTGAGGTTTTATTTTTAGAGACGGTTGGATGTCGTCTGGACACAGAGACACTCGGCTGATCCAGACTCTCATCGTTACTTCTTCCATCTTAGTGTTGGTTTAATACTTCACAGCTGAGACGTTCAGTCGGTTCCTGAAGCAGCTTGAAGGGTTTTCTGTGGGCTTGTTTCTCCCTGAACTTTGCCTCACAGGCTGGGGGCCGTTGTCATGGATGCAGAGTCCAAAATGGAGTCGTGGGAAAAGTAATCATACGTCTTCAGTGTGGATTCAGGAGCCGAGCGAGAGGGTTCCTGCTCTGACTTCAGGATTCTTTGACTCCTTTAATTTCAGTCTGACGAGACGTTTGAATGATTCTTAAACGAGCTGAAGACGAAGTCGACGTCCTGAAACTCTGAAGTTTGGTTTCCTGAAGTGTCCTCGTGTTCTCCACTGTGTCTCCAAACTGTGATCAGCTGCTTCCTCCTGAACTCAATCGTCAATAATAATGAATCAATATAAAAAATTCAATCTATTGAGTTTTTATTTTAAATGTAAAGACTCACTTTATGTTTGAGTCACTATGAGAGCAGACATGTGAATATCTGAAGCTTTGATGAGACGGTGTCTTGTGTTTTTATTTTTCCAGCTGACGTCGCGGTGAAGCACGATGAACGGATACGCAGCTCCAGCTCTCGCCTCCGGCATCTTCGGCTCGTACGACTCCAACATGAAGTGAGTATCTGCGTCCCGTTCATCTCTGCTGCTCCTGAAGTGTTTGAATAGATGATAATGAATAATGAGTCAAACGCACATTTTCACATTAAGTGAAAAGGGATTTAAGATGTTTTGTAAATTATTTAAAGATTTATAATCCCTCAGAAACTAAAGGGAAAAATCAGGGAAGGTTTCAACACATTAAAATACTGGATCTGTGCAGATGATCAGTTCAAAATCACAGTCACAGTTTAAGGTTTACCTGTCATCTATAATTCCAGAGGATTTTTCCATTTAAAATCATATAATTGCTGCAGAAATGAATTTAAAACAAAAACTTCATTAAATCTATTTTAAGGGATAATTTAAGGGATTATTGTGCCGTGACGACACCTAAAGAAAAAGTCTATAAATCAAGAATCTTTAATGAAAACTTCAGACGGTTCATGGAGACGAGCATCATCACCGACCGTCTGTGAGAGGAGATGACATCATGACTCGTCACAGTAAACGCTGTGACCCCCCCCCCCACTCTGATTGATCGACTCATTCAATCAACTGATTCACAAAGTAAAGGAGGCGACAGACAACTGGAGCACAACTCTGATCCCAGACCTGATCCCGGACCTGATCCAGGACCTGATCCCAGACCTGATCCCGGACCTGATCCAGGACCTGATCCCAGACCTGATCCCGGACCTGATCCAGGACCTGATCCCGGACCTGATCCCGGACCTGATACCGGACCTGATCCAGGACCTGATCCGTCCCTCACTCTCACTTTTAGTCTGTGGTTTAGTTTAATGCTTTGGTTTTGGGTTAATGAGCAGAAACGATCGATAGTGACATAAAAAATCTATATAACTTTAATTTAAACTGTGGGGGGGGCAGGATGTCCTGATTCCATATTAAAACAATTAAACGATAAAAACTCAAACGTGAGCGAGATCGTCAACAAACATTGAGTCTCTGTCCGAGATTTAAATCAAATTAAATGATTCAAAAGTGAAGAAACCCAAAATCGGAGGAGTTTCCTCTACAGCGCCAGACAGTCACCATGACAACAGTGTTCCTGATGTGCTCCTCACATGTCCCTCACGTGTCCCTCACATGTCCCTCACGTGTCCCTCACGTGTTCCACACATGTTCAGCAGGTTCTGTATGTGAGAACAAATGTCTGAGTCGGTGTCTCTGGACGTGTTCTGGATCTTCTCCTGCAGCCTCTAGTCAAATGAGTCAGAGTAAGTCCATGAGAGAAACATCATGAAAACCTCTGGAACCCTCCTAGTGAGCGAGTGGACGAGTCGATGAGGTTTCTAACACGTGACGGACGTGAAATCAATAATCAATAGAAGAGTTTCTGTTCTAACAGTTTGTGTGTTTGTCTCTTTTGAAGTGGTCTCGACTCTCAGTCTCCTGAACCTCCCAGAAATAAAGCCAAGTCTGGTGCCAAAGCTCTGTACGGTGAGTTTTCATCCTCCTGTAAACCACATGAACGTCTCCTCAATCAGCCTGAACCATGTAAACAACCCACTTAACATACAGACCAGAGCAGCAGGGAATCAAACCACCGACCTGAAGAATCAACAGTTAAACTCTGTTTGTCTCCTTGATCCTCATCAACAGGATCAGATGAAATCTATTTCCTACGTTCATCGTCCAAACATAAAAAGAGAAGTCAAAGTGTGTGTGTGTGTGTGTGTGTGTGTGTGTGTGTGTGTGTGTGTGTGTGTGTGTGTGTGTGTGTGT